ATGTCTGGGCTAATGTCTGGGTTAGTGTCTTGGTTAATCTTGGGTTATTGTCTGGCTTAGTGGGTGGGTTAGTAGATGGGTTAGTGTCTGGGTTAATGTCTGGGTTAGTGTCTTGGTTAATCTTGGGTTATTGTCTGAGTTAGTGGGTGGGTTAGTCTCTTGTTAGTGTGGGTTCGTGTCTGGCTTAGTGGCTGGGTTAGTAGATGGGTTAGTGTCTGGGTTAGTGTCTGGATTAATGTCTGGGTTAGTGTTTGGGTTAGTGTCTTGATTAGTGTCTGGGTTAGTGTTTTCGTTAACATCAGGGTTAATATCTGGGTTAGTGTCTGGGTTAATGGCTGCGTTAGTGTCTGGGTTAATGCCTGGGTTAGTCTCTGGGTTTGTTTCCGGGTTAGGGTCTGGTATTAATATCTTGGTTAATGTCTGGTTTAGGTAATTGAAAAAGAAAGTCAATGAAAACAAACCTCTATGTCTGTTTAACCCAACAGAACAATAACCAAGATAAAATATAAACTTTGAGTTTAATCTGATTATATCTAATGATCATATTATTCTGTTAACCTTCAGTCACTCAATAATGTCCAACCAGTAACCGCTTTGATTGGATTTATTCACCACATGCTTTTGATTACGTAAGAAGTTCTAACAGCGACACACAACTTTAATGACTGAAAATATAAAAGCAAACATGCAACTTAAATCGAAAAAATCCTCCACCTCTAAAGTTCGCTGTGAATTTGCCATTATGCTTCCAGTTATGCCTGGAATGGATAAAACTATAATGCTTATAACATCTTCACTGATTCCAGTAGTTCTGTTGAATTTATAATGTCTGTAAAATATAAGCACAGCTACCTACGGAGCCCGCTAACAGACTTGGGAAAAGAGATTTATAATGTTCGCTCTACATATCAATTTGATCTCTCGAAAAAAAAACTAAGTTGTGTGCAAACTCACAATTTCCTAATTTTTGTCTAAAGCATAAAGGTGCACACAAATTAGTAAAGCATGATCCTTGTCCAGCGCAGCTTCTGGAGCAGTTAGAGGAACAATCCAACATGATAGAGAATGAAGGAGTTTAATTTAAAGCAGCTTTTATAATTCTGGACTGACGTCCTGCAGGCTTCTCTCCTCTCTGCTAACAGAGGAAGGTCCTGACGTCCTGATGGATCCCATGGGCTCCACACTAAAAGTTTAACACCAGCGCAGCATGAAGCAGTGAGGCACCTGAAGATCTACTCACGCTCTGAAATGCATCTGATCAGGTGGAAAACGCTGAGCTTCTGCTGTCCAACACCTGCAGCCTCCTCCAGGAGAGGAAACAACATGTCTGACACTGAACCGTTCCATAGATCCTGATAACGAGCAGAGATGGTTCAATCTAGCCTGATTTCTCTACTGGAGCTTTTCAGGATATATAGTCTGCCAGGTTATATTCTCCTTTTCAGGTGTTTTGCTTCACTGCTAGCATAGCATCTGAGACGGCATACTGATAAATCCTCCTATAGTTTCCTCCTTCAGGGGTTCCAGATAATAATGTTTGATCAAAAACTAGAGAAAAAGCTGCTTCGCCATCTTCTGAACATGTCTGAGCGCTTTACTCCCAAACGCTGCCTCCACTTCTGATGCTCCTGGTTCAGACGCCTTTATTGATTTCTGTCCATCAGATCAGAACCTGCAGGAATAATTTATTTCTATCAGATGTTTGTGTTATCTGGATATTCCAGAAGCTCAGACAGGAGAACCGTGTTCCCTCCAGCAGTAGGATCTATAATTATATAGCATGGTGGTTCCTCATCCCCTGCCTGTTTCCACCCTGTTTAAGAATCCCTGCTGCTAATCAAGGCTAGTTTGAAACCTCCAGAACTGTCACATTGTTCCACAATCTCTGGAAATTTGTCCCACAATCCGCTGCTTTAGACACTTACACTCTTTGGACATTCCTACAGCGAAGCACTTCTGCAGGCGGCAGTACTGGCAGCGGTTCCTCGTCACTTTGTTGATGATGCAGTTCTTGTCCCGGTGACACGTGTACACCATGTTCTTCTGAATGCTGCGCCGAAAAAAGCCCTGAGGAGACACACAGAGGACAGTGGTAGCCTCTGAACATCGGTTTTTAGACAGTCACATTTTTCCCATCAGTGCTACAAATGAACCTGATGTCAGAATAACCACACGCAGCCACTGCTGCTCAGAGCGTTAGCAGGTCCCTGCTGGGGCTCTGCACAGCCTCTAATGTTGGATTTAAGCTCAGACTGAGAGCGCTGTTGGGAACAGAGAAGAAGAGGCTGTGCAGGAGATTAACTGTGGTTCAGCTGCGCTGGGACGCACCGCTCCTGAACTTCACAAGGTGACATTGAGTTCTTTGGAAGAGCAAAGCTTCTCACTTCCAGATGAACGCTTTCATTAAAATTCAGGAAAACAACAGAGAAGAAAGAGAAAAACTGGCTAAGAATTATTAGCAACTTAAAATAAACTCCACCAGCCCATCTGATATATTAGAGTTTAAATCAGGAATCGGGTTTTCCCAGAAAGTCACACAAACTCAGA